GGGGGGAGGGGGTCCAGCCTGCAGCCAGTCAGTCGCCACCAGCAGCAGACACCCCCCCCTGCGGCTGGGCCCAAAGCTAGTTTTTCCAGCGACTGCTACGGCCTCAGTCTGCAAGAGGCAGATGAGTCCAGGCAGCGCTCGGGGGGGTGCCTAATGCTCCTGCCTTCCAGGGCTGGCAGAAGTCACTTCAAAGGCAAGGGGCACGCGCGCAGTCCGTTCAAAATCTCAGGGCTGGAATTCTGGGCCACGGGCCTTGTTCTGCAGGCCCGCCCCACCCCCTAAGGTAGGGAAGCAGCCGGATCTTAAGCAAGTGCCTTGGGGCTTCGTCCCAGACTCCCAGGCACGCGCGCAGAGGATGGCAGCCGGGTGTTTCCTCCGAACTCAAGGCCGCCGCCTCCTCCTCCCCCTCCTCTTCCTGCGCCCGGCCAGCAGCGGCCTTGGGGCTGCCAGGCGGCATGCACGGAGGAGAGGGGGTGTTTTCGCAAGCCGAAGAGCACCTTGCAGGAGCAGTGAGGAGGCAGCCGCTCTGGGGTGAGTCATGTGCTTGGTGCGTCCTCTTGCCCGGGCGCTCCTCCTCTTCTCTGCACTTGCAAAGGGTCAGCCCCAGGACGACGGGGAAGGGTTCGGGCTCGCCCGGCCGCCGCTGCCGCAGCTTTAACCACCCGGGAAGGGGCTTCTCGGCCCAGGGCTGCGAGGAGGAGGAAGGGACTGCCGCCACCGCCGGACGGCTGCGAAAAGAATGGGGTGTCCAGCCAGGCTTTTTAAAAAAGAAACAAAGTGCTTCTGAGACTTTCAAATACCCCCCCTAAATTTCATTTCTGCCAAAATAAATCCTTTTTTTTTTTTAAGTGAGACTTTTGATAAAAGAAAGATGTGGCAGATGTCCAAAGATGACTGCCCCCCCCCCACCACGTCCTCCACCCCAAACTTCAGATCGGCCCACTTTTTGCTTCCCTTGATCGACTTTGAATAATCGGGATCCTCCGGATCGTTTGGTATTTCCATAATCTTGTACAGGCTTGCTTGAGATTTGGTACCTTAAGTATCTGCAGAAAGCATTCTGTTTTATTTGCTATGTGCTTCTATGGGAAAAGGAGGAGGAGGAGGAAATCGGTTTCACTTTAATGTAGAGAGATGCAATTTTTTGCTTTCATTTCTGCCAAAATAAATCCTTTTTTTTTTTTGTAAAAAATAAATTAAAAAAATTGGGCCCTGCACATTTGCGTTTTAAATGACACAAACAAAAAACTTGTTTGGGCATTCATTTGCAGAACTCCCAGTACAGTATTAAGCAGGTTGGTTGCAGAAGCCTTTGAAAGTCCTGGACTGAAATTTGGGCCTTTAGGAAGCTAACAATCCCCTGGTTGTGTTTTGTTTCCAGTGCCAGAACTGGATCCAGACACCATTGGACGGTGCACTATTGTTGCACATTAGCAGTCACTTGTAATGCTATTGTCCTGTCCATAATGGGTGAGGGGGAACAGTTCAACACATGAAGCTGCCTTATACTGAATCAGACCCTTGGTCCATCAAGGTCAGTATTGCCTACTCAGACTGGCAGTCACTCTCCAAGGTTTCAGTGAGAGGTCTGTCACATCACCTACTACTCAGTTCTTTCAACTAGAGATGTCAGGTATTCACATTGTGACTTCCTGCATGCAAAGCAGATGCTCAACCACTGACCCACATTGGCAAGCCCCTCCCCACATTGTGAATTACTGGAATGACAGCACAAGATCCAGCTATGTACAGATAAAGAAAGATCAGCAGATGGTAAGTGATATCCTGGTGAAACCGGAAAGGTCCCTGTGCTTACTAGTCACAGGCGTGTGGTGCTATGAGCTGAGTAATTTTGGCCGGGGCAAGGACCCTTGGCAGTATGATATCATCTGATATGCAGAGATATCATCTGATATGCAGAGCAGATAGCCACATTTACCAAACCAAATCTGCACACACTTTAGTGACTCAAGACAGGGTTTAAGTACCCTAAACCATTGAACTGCCTGCCATTTGGTTTTTCTGTCATTTTATTTTCCCATCAGTCCCTGCAGCATCTTGTTCTGAGGACAGAAGGCGAGTCCTACAGATTTTACCCCTGAGCACTCTGTAACGCTAATTCAGATTCATCCCAGCTGCATATATGCAGGACCAGCCCTAGATCCAGTGGTGCCCCAGGCAAGTCCTTCCCCTTCCAATAGTTCCAACTTTTGAACACCTTTTAAAAAATTGTGTGTGTGTGTTACCCTCACAACAACCCTGTGGGGTA